TCAAAAAAAGAACAAAAGGTAAGTGACAGCAGCAGAAGGGAAACCCTGTGGTTCCTGTGCCAGGGGCACCTTGCACAAGCAACGGCGACCCTGACACACCACGGGGAGCAAACCAGGCACACCCCGAGGGGGATGGTGTTTCTCTGCAGGGATGATGATCATTTTTGTCCGTGTCGTGTCTCTACTTTTTATGGCCAATTGCTGGAAGCTGCTCTTGTATTGGAAGCCTGCATTTTACATGACCAGAGAGGCCAATTGTACCTGGGTCTTGTGTGAGCAATCTTGGCAGGAGCTATAACATGCTGCCTCCCAGGATCCAGTGCTACAGGACCCTCTGTGTAGCCTCTGTGTTCTGAAACCCCATCTGATGCATAAAAGACCCAGACCAGGTTTGGGCACAGGTTTTAACTTGTCTCCCTGGCACCTCTCTAAGGGTCCAAGATGGGCACTACAAAGGTGAACTGGGGGAACCACTGAGTCCTCCTGTGTCACCTCTTCCCTCCCACCACCAATTTTACTTAGAGAGAAGAAAACCACAATCAGTGGAGACATTTTAGAATTTGAGGATGTGACTCCCAACAAAAAGTTTCTTCAGCTAGCAAGGGAGATGTCCTGGGGGCGGGGGCTGGATGCTGTGAGGAGCAGCAGAGACCTGCAGGAGAAAGGGGCAGCTACTCACAGTCCAGGATGACCTGAGCTGCTCGGTAGAGCTGCAGCCCTTGCAGCAGGTCCAGGAGCTGCTGCACTGTTGCCAGCCTCACTCCCCACCACCACATCAGCTCCCTTGTGATGCTGATCCCTGTCTTCTCCATGGACTTGATTTTCCGTAGCTCTGTTTGATCAGTGATCACGTAGGAGGCTGGTGGGAGAGAACAGATATTGCTGTTTAAAAATTAGAGAAAACTAGCAGGGCAAGCAGGTAAACAAGCAAGTTCACTTTTGCATTTGCACAGTTTTAAAAGAAAGGATCACAATAAATTAGCTAAGCACAAAGCAAATTCTGTTCTAAAGTAAGATATCCCTTTTCTTCCTTCTACTATTCTGGAAAAAATGTTGTTATATCATAGACACTCGAAAAGAAACCCCAGTTACACTTTTCAGCATATTTTCCCTGTAATCTTCTTTCTCCTTAGTACTTTGTGTACCAAAGTAAGTTCAGATTAAATTCCTGGGGTGATTCTCCCAAATCAGGTGACAGCAGTCAGTGGTGTGGCTGCAGTCCTGCCTGCATTCCTAAATCCCAGTGCTGTGGTGAGCCAAACAGTAACTGAATCACCTGGGTGTTAGGTAGGTGCTGATAAAGCTATCAGGGACACACGGGCAGTTTTAGGAGCAGGAGATCCCGTGCCAAGGCTGACCCTACACGCACATGCTGTCACCCCCTGTGCTCTTCCCATCTCGCTTTCCCACACGAACCCCCCTCCCACACACCCGGGGCTGCAGTCTCCGAGGGGCTGTGCCTGAACCAGAGGGGCCGAGGGCTGCGCTGTGCCTGTGGAGAGAAAGATTCCCACCCCAGCTAGTTTCAGAAGGACGTCAGAAATACAGTTTTATACATCTGAAAGTAGCGGAGATGAATCCCACCCTACATCAGGAAGATTAACTGGGGTAAGAGCTTATTCAGCAGACAGTTAGGGAAGTCTTGAATGAAATTAAATCATGTCAAATAAAGGAAGGTATGCACTAAGAAAAGATTCAGGTTAGAATTGTCTGGACTGGGATACAGACCCCCCCCCCAAAAAAAAAACCCCAAACCAAACAACTCAGGGTCTACATTTTCTGTACTTTTTGACTGGACATGGCCAGGACCAAGAAAAATAGGGACAGAAAGTATGAGGAGATAAAGTATAATGAAAAGAAGGAAGAAAGAACAAACCAGAACATCTGACCAGATGTGAAGGATGTCGTGAAAACAGGCAGTGAGAAGTGGCAGG